TTTAGAGTCTGTAGGTTCATTGTGTTGAATTTGTTTAAATTTACTTGTACTTGGTTTTTGTAGTATCCGCATATATTACGTGCTAGCTTGTTGTGTGATCAATCTAGTTGCATGTTAGTACTTATGTAACTTACGTGTGATATGTTTAGTCTGCATAACATTTGTTTGTGGATGCAGCGAGGGACAAAAGGTGTTGATGAAACTCATTGGTGGAATAAGTCCAAATCTATGTAAATATGTAATTCATATTTGGTTAAATCATGACAAAATAGATAGAGATTATTGGGAATTTTGGCCAATTAGTGTGTGTGAGTTTGATACGTTTGTTATGTGGCTAATTAGGCCAAATCCGTGTGTGTTATTTTTACAACAATAGATTTTAGAGATTGGGGGAATAAAAATAGAGTGAATGAGTCGAAACCATTCCAAAGTAAAAATTGATTAGAGAAAGAATGATATAAGAGAATGAGAGACCGATGAGATTTTGGGTGAGGTTTTCCACAGGTGTTCGGTGAGTTTCTGGTGAGTTTTCAATTGAGAATATAAGCCCTTTATTTATGTCTTTTTTGCCGGGTGTCGAGGTTTAGTGTGGCGTACTGACCTCTACTTTGAGATGTAGTTACAATGTGCTGAGCCGAAATATACCATCCCTATCACTAATAAAATAAGTAGAAAGAAGTTCTAAGAGAATCAAAGGAACGCTAGAGCCGTTCGGAAGGAAGTCCAATCACCGCCGATGTTCACCAGAGAAGAGAGCTTTTGTTTGTTTTCCACTATCAAAGAAGTTGTGGATCTGCCGAGGGAGCTGCTGCCCAACCTTAAGAGACCCCAGAGCAAAGCCACCAACCGCTGCCTTTGTCATCTGTTGATGGTCGTCCGAGAGCCACCACCTTGAATCAAGTTGAAACAAATTGATTTGTTTATGGGTGAGTGTAATTGCAAGTTCGAACACGAAATTAGGAAGTTTACTTTGTTCAATTTCAATTACAATTCAAGGTTATGTTCATTTGGTTTGATTTCATTTTAGGTATGTTTCTTTGTATTCTCAATTTCTTCAATTTTCAGATTTTGATTAATTACGATTACCATGATTATTAGTGTCAACTTTTTTTTTTATTCGATTTATTATTAATTTGAGTTTACTTAAATTCACTTCCACTAATTAAATTGTATATATATTTACGAGATTTATTCAAACTATAAATTCAAAATACTACTTCTTAATTACACTACACATATTCATATTCACAAAGAAAAACAATTGTAGAAACAACTATCTCTGGTCAAATCACCATTTAGCCTAAACAAACATTTTTCCTTGTAAATATCTTATAGTCCTTCAATTTTATTTGTATCTTATTTGCTCATTTTATAGAAAAGAAGGATAAATAGTAATAATTAAATTAAATAGGTTTGTAAAGGTGATCAAAGTCATTATTATGAAATAAAAGTGTAATATTCATTTTTTAAGTAATGAACTTGACGTCAATTTGTAGGGATATGTATTCTTATTATTCTCTACTATCATTATCGACGCCACCTTGACCTAGCTATGTGGTCTCCCAGAATGCTAAAAATACTCGACCACCTTATCGTTATTATCAATCTACATTTATGATACTCTAGAACATCAAGATTCTCTTGCATCATGTTACAACTCTTATTTTCTCTTCTGACATGGAGGCCACTTCAAGTAACCTTTAGTGATATTTCAATCCAAGCTATTGGAATCATATGACGGCTATACTTGATATCTTGACTAATATTTTTTTGTGTCCTCTTCATTATGTATACACACTGATAACTAGAATCACATTAATATCACATAATCTAGATGTGTATTTTTACCATCTGCTTATTTTTTTTCTACTTGTTGACCCTAAATTTTGTATCAGTTGGTCAACTAGTTGACCAATGTTATTTTTTCTTCTTGTAGTATGTAGGTTTAGGATCAACATATATAGGTTAAATTCTTGAGATTGATCAAAAGGTAGGTATCTTATTTGAGGTGCAATCTTTGCAGATTCATTCATGTAATCTCTTTGTTGCTACTACCACTCATGCTATTACTCTCACTTCTAGGTTTCAGTTAAACCTTTGATTTGGTCATGCATCTTCTACTACCAAGTATGCTTCTGAAATTTTGTTTCGTAATGGCCTCAATGATTTTAAGATTGTTTTAACACTTCTTTACGCTGAGTATCACCTTAGACCGATAGATGGGACTCACCTTGAAATTTCTTCTATCTATTGTCAGCTTGTCGGGAACTTGATTTATTTGACAGTCATTCGCCTGGTATTGTCTATGTTGTCTACCTTTTTAGTTATATCATAGTTGTACCTCGTATTGCTTACTATTGTGTAATTCTACATTGTATATTCCATATTTTAGAGTATATAAAATAATATTTTTGTATCAATTAAGCATTTTGATAATTTTAATGAGAATAAAAAATTGATGTTATGTCATAAATTTATTATTATTTTCTATATCAGGTATAATTGAGGAATTTTTAATGAATATATATCGACGAGAATAAATATATGTAAGTATTGTATTTATATTATTGCTTATATATATATGTAAATATTAACTATTTTGAGTAATATTCCCTCCGTCCCAAAACAATAGTCTCATTTTGCCATTTTCATCTGTCCCAAAATAATATTTTCATTTCCATTTCTACTTTTAGTAACCAACTCCCCATATTTTTACAAAACTATCATTACCTTTTCACAATAATTACATAAACTATGGGCATTTTTAGTGTTTTAAAAACACTTTTACACCCACTATGAATATAATAATATTATTCCTTAATTCTCGTATCCATCTCATATGTTCCTATTGTTTAGGATGGAGTGAGTATTATTGTTATATTATAAATTTAGTATATATACATATAATATATATATATATAAGCAAACAAAAAGATTGTATGGAGCAAGCCAACCAAACAAATATAAGGAGTGTATGAAATGAAAGAAGATGGGAGGAAGAACACAATATATATATATATATATATACTCCATTTCAATTATGATATGATTTTTGTATTCTTTGTTGTATGTATAGTTAGTGATTTTAAACATGAATTTGGATATAAATACATTAAATTAGTCATTTTCTTAAATATTCATAATTATTTATATAGTTATTTAATCAATATAATTCTTTAATAAATAGTCTTATCATAACTCCAATGTCCTTTTTTGAAAAATTTGTAACGATCCAAACTGAATTAAAAATGACATTGTATTGTACCATCTTATTTGTTATAACTTTAAAAGTTTTTATTTAATAATGCATTTATATAAATATTATGATGTGTGAGAATTTTATAATTAAGATATAATGTTCTATTATGTTTTGAATAAACATATATTTCTCATGAATAAGCATTAGTTCATCTAATTGAAGTAAATTGTGCAATATTACAAAAGTAAAAAAAATTTGATGAATTGTCTATTTCAAATTGGGTAACTATGTAATTGCATAATATGATAGATGTATATTAAAGGTGATTCATTCAGGGTCCTTAGTACGAGGCAATGTCATCATACTACAATGTGGCAATAACATTTCCAATGATCTAACTAAGGGTGTTACATACATATTTTTTGTTATGTTACAAGAATAATGCTATTAAATGATTTATACTTCTCCGGTCAATCGTCTTGATTCTTTCTAATTACTCTTTGATGTTGATTGAGTAAGTGGCTCCACGGATCTTTGCTCTATCCATTATTTTATTTTATTTTTTTTTTGTGAGCATTTTGCCTTCTGGCATAATAAGAAGCAAATATTTATCTCTTATTTTAGCGTTAGATTTAAATATCTTGTCTTTATTGATGTTAGTTCTGAGCTCTTATGGCATCGTTGATTTGTTGATCATATGTACTTTAATCATCTCTTATTGCTTTGTATTGCAACAATAAGAGTGTTATTCAAATCTTTCATAATGATCTCTTTCTTGGTATGCCAAACACATCGAGATTACCTTGTTCATTGTCATGTTCATGAAAATATCGAATTGTGTTATGTTTCTTCCTAAGATAAACCTTGAATGTCTACACTAACTTCCATCATCATGCTCGTTTTCAGCCTTTCTTGCACAAACTCAAATTGATTTCTACGACGTCAACTTGAATTTGAGGAGATATTAAAAAATATATATTAGATGTATTTCATTTTAGGTTATTATTTTGTCATATACACTACCAGAATTTATTAAAATAGCTTCGAAAAATTGCTTCGAAATTTTAAAAGGTTCCGAGGCAAATTAATTTTATCCTCGGATTTTGTCTCTAAATCATACCCGAAGAGAAAAACTCGTTGCTATTTATGTTGCTTCGGAATTTCCGAAGCTATTTTAAAAGCTTCTGAATTTCTGAAGCAATTGTTACATTTTTTTTTTAAAAAAATAAATATATATTGAGGTACACGTGCCTCACATTAACAAAATAAATTTCAAATAGCCTCGCAATTTCCGAGGCAAGTGTTAAATTTTTTTCAAATAAATCAAAATATTTTGAGATCCACCACCACCGCCCGCCGTTGCTCCCACCACCCACCACTACTACCCCGCCGCCGGAGAAAAAAAAAAAAAGAAAAAAGATTAGGGGTTTTCATGCCACCGCAGCGCTGCCGCTGGATAAGGAAACAAAGGAAAATGAGGAGACTCCCTCGTCCCGCCGCTGCCGCCTGCCGCCGAAGAAGAAAACGCAGGAGGAAGAGGCTCAGAAATTCATAGACTATTCTTGGACTAATCAATTTAGTTGATTTAATATATATATATATATATATTCATAGTTTCCGAATTGATTTCGAAACAATTATTTGAGATCATTTAACAAAATTTTGGCAGTGATACCTATAAATTGAATATGATTTTATTATTAATCGAAAATATATATATACCACCGTTTCCAAAAGTTCCCATACGTTATCATAAAAATAAAATAAAATAAACAATTCATTTAATTGATTCATTTTTTATTACATCAAAGTGAATACAAGCCAAGATTGACGATTGAAACTTAAATTGATAAGAAACTGTAACTAGGTTACAGCTCTTAAATAATTATTCTTCCAATGAGCAACAAACAAACTCACTTGAAAATATAATCAATTTACAAAATAATTAAATTGAGTGAAATAATGAGAATGAGAATGAGAAAGAAGCCTAATTTGGCCTGGTGCAATCAATCCTGATTTCCCCTTGGCTCCCTGTCAAGACCCCAACTCTCCCCAACTTTGTCATGGCCAGTGCAAATGCCTGGTTGAAGGCAACATTGCTGGCTGCAAACTGGTTCACAATGTTCCTCGTACGCCCGTCCGTAAACAGCACCTGGTCCGAGCTAAACAGGCCCCTTCCTTGCTGGAGGTTCTGAAAATAAGCATTGTCGAATGTATTGGGGCTCGCTGGATCCATATTGATCGCGATCCTCGGGTCGACCCTTATGGGACACATTTGCCTTAGCTGCAGTGCGTATTGTAGATTGAGGCTCGGATCGATCCTGCTTTGCGGGCTGAAGTTGTATATACGGTTCGCGAACCGGCTGCAGTGGGAGAACCCGATCGTGTGCGACCCTGCATCACCCTACTATTTTAGAATATTTCGATATGCTTTGAGTATATTAAGGATTTCCTCAGCTAGTCTATATGCTATTACAAATATATTTTTTGTTAGAAATAAATTAGGATCTGTTTGGCTGCAGCTTCTACCATAATTTGGCATTATAGCTCTATATTTTTTTATGTAACTATTTCTTGAAAAAAAATGTAAGATGCCATCTACTTAGAGTTTTATATTTTATTATTTCTTTGAAATAAATAAATATATTAGATAGATTTAAAATTAAATTATATTAATAATGTATAAATATATATGTATATATACTTTATTTATTTATACTATATAAAAAGATTTCTACAAGACAACATCATGTTTCTTTGTGTTTTGTCGAGGGACTCTCTTTTGTAGATAAATGGAAAAATGATGCATATCTTAAAAACCGTGAGATAGTCAGGCTGTGTTTGTTTTGTGAGATGGTTAAATTATTTTTTTATATGAGATATAGAGAATCGCGTAGATAATATAATAATAATAATGAATGTGTGTAATGTATTAATTTTTTTGAAAAAATATGTAGAAGATAAAAATAGAAAGAACATAATTTCATTTGCTTCATCTAACATGTTTAAAACAATATGAATATGTACCTTGAATGTAGTTGATTGTCAACGAAAATAAATTATTTGATTAGGACCAAATAATATCCAAAAATAAAAATAAGCAAAGAGTAAGATATATGTGTAATGGCGTGGGATGTTACCTGAGAGGGCAACTAAATCAGTGAGGTCAAGGCCGTGTGAGGCGAAGATGGAGCTCAGCTGGTCCAAGTTGGACCCGGGACCTGGGAGCCGGCGCTGAACGCTTGCAATTGTAGACACTCTTCCATCCCGCCTTCCCAACTCCACTGGGTAAAATGTCCCCCCTGCCTGCATCCGTACAACTGGATGGATTAAATACTTACATATATATACATATATTTCAATTTTAATTTTTTTTTTCTTATTGAAAAAATATTAAAAGAAATTAAATTTTAAGATTGATGTACCAAATTGACGACATCCCTTGTGGCCAAGGCCAATATGTCGGCACAGGACACTTTGTTCCGGCACTGAGGATCGCTGTCCACTGCGGCCTTGGCCTTCACCACCGTGTCGAATCCGTCTCCGGCCAGCGACAGGTTGTCCGGATGATCTTTCTCCGCTTGCCCGTTTGGCACCGCAAGCATTATCGATCCATCACACCCCTGTTAATTAATTAATTAATTAATTTGATATATCAAATATATATATAAATACATACATTCATTAGACTATACAACACCTTATAATTAAATTCGATATATAAATTATGTTCATACAATACATTTTATATAAATTGTAAACTCAGCATATGATTAATTGAGCTAATCCGACCTGCCCAATATATAGATATCTAAGATTTTTGACTACCAAAATCAGACATTTAAAAATCCTAAAATAAAAGATATTTCATATAATTAGATAATAAAATGATAACATCTATACCAAGGCAATAACGTAATTTCGGAAAGGTGGCAATAATATATATATAAAGACCCACCCGGACAAGGCAGTCGTGGAAGAAGAGGCGGAGAGTGGCCGGAGCAGTGACAAAAGTCTGCCGGAATTTGGCCTGTACGGCGGCGCGGACAAGGGACTCCACGTTCGGACATGTCGTCCGGTAGAAGTCTGTCCTCAGCAATTGGGCGTACCCAATAATAATATTATTATTATTTTTACTATCTGTTAAAACCACCAATACTAATACTGCCACCCAAATTGGATTCTTCATTTTTCAGCTCTACCATTCAATTCCAGACTCTTGTCACACAGTACATACATAGATATATATATATGTGTGTGCTAGATTTTAGGTTGGGGGGGGGGGGGGGGTGAGTTTTATATATGATTTTTTGCCTTGGAACGATGATCACTTCGAACTGCTCCGAAACCTCTTTTAAAAATAAAATAATACAAAATTACATTCTGGCCAGTTGGTTCTTTCTGACAAAGTAAGTGTTAGGTTTGATTAATAATAATAATAATAATATGTGGTTGTCTTAATGACTTTTGCATAATAATAATATTTTAAAGATGGATACAAACGTCATATAAATTAATGAAAATCTATTTTAGCCCATTAATTCAATATATATGGAAGAGCCAGGTTACACGAGGAAACTTTATTAAAGGGTAAATGGACAGTTTGACCAGTATGTTGTGTTAAAGGGTATATTATGATATATACATATATATACCTTAGTTTAATTTAAATTTACGAAATTATTTTTAGAAACTTCAATGCATTCCTGTGTCACGGACCGAAACTTTGGCCAAGCAATGCCGAGGGAGCTGCCGAGGAGCGCCAGAAAAAGAGTATTGCCGAGAAGAATGTAAAGGAACACCGAGGAAGGGTCTACGGCATGCAAACACGAATAGGCTAGCAGAGATCCTTCAAACGTTCCAGAACCTCCTAGAATGTTCCGGAACCTTCCGGAATATTCTGGAATCTCTTGGAATATTCTGGAACATTCTAGAAGCCGAGTTGATGTTTATCCATTATAATTAGTTTATCTGTCTCTTTATTTAGATATCTTTATCCGTAGTTTGTTAAGATATAGCATATCCGAGTGTGAATTTGATTTGGTCCATGTTGGGCCCGGTTGTTAGAGTGTCTATATACATGAGGAGTCCTCACTTGTACTTTACTTCAGTTTTGAGAATTAATAAACACTCTATTTTTCCGGGTGCATCTTATAGTGTTCTTACTTTTAGCATGTGTGGAGTTGCAAGCAGGGCTGTACTAGCGAGTTCTCGAAGGTGTCGAGGAATTGCTAGGCCAACGGGAATGTGTTCGAGGAGGAACTGTCCGACCCGTTACAAGTGGTATCAGAGCTACGTTTGAGGGATGGCGACCGACAAGTCTGATGCTAAGTTCGAGGTTGATAATCAGGTCCCGAGGGGGAGCTGGAGGAACACAAGGACCAGCCTGCAGACATCATAGGATCATTCGAGACCAGGTAGGCCAGGGTGGAGCCGACCGTTGGAGATCATCATGAAAAGCTTGACGAGGTGAAACAACGTATTTGCGAACTCGAGGGCAGTGAGTTGCGCGGTGGGATACTGGCCTCGACCGATGACGAGAGGGAGGAGTCTCGGAAACGGGAACTGTCGACGATGGAGCTTACCGAGGCGTTAAAGGCCTAGGTAGTCACACTGAAGGAGACCGTGGCGGAGTGCAGGGTCCAAATCGCGAGGCTGGAGAAAGCCAAGGTTGTAGAACCTTCGAGTGTTCGAGAGGAGTTGGCAATGGTAAGGGCAGCGCTAGCCGAACTCCAGACAATGAGACCTATTGGGATTGCCTCGGTAGCCCCAAATGGGAATATACCGTGTCTAGAGAGTTATGCTGGTGAGCGGAAGGCTCGAGCTGTGGATGTCTTTCTCTATGATATGGAGAAATACTTCAAGGATTCCGATATCATGGGAGATGAAGCCAAAATCCACACGGCATCTCGGTTCCTAAAGGGCTTGGCCCGTATTTGGTGGAGGTGGAACGAGGGGATGCATGGCAATGAGGGAAGCATCACGACTTGAAAAATATTCAGGCATGAACTTAAGGCAGGATTTGCACCGGCTGATGCAGAGGAGAAGGCATGGTGCACGATTCATCGGTTTGAACATCGAGAGGGTCACTTAAAGGAGTACATCGAGGAGTTCTTCGATCTATTTTTGGAGGTGGCAAGTATGTCACCTAATGAGGCGTTGTTGATATTCTTGGAGGGCCTAAGGCCGTGGGCTAAGTTGAGGATTAAGGAAAAGCTCCCTTCAACGGTCAACGAAGCAATCAAGTATGCTCGATGGTTACTTGAGGTCAAGCAAAAGGGGCCCAGTGAGGACGACCAATCAAGGGGGATTAACCAAGACAGAAGTGGGGGAGACCAAACTTGGCAGACTCCATGGGCTAGTCATACCAGCGACACTTGGCAGCAATCCACAGCTAGGGTCAGGAATGTGAGGAGGCCAGGACTGACATATAGTGGGTGTTTTGTCTACAAGAGGAAGGATCACTATGCTAGAGATTGTCCAAGTCGAGGAGGCATTGTGGTGTAGGACGGGCCGTAGGAGGTGACAGAAGGCCGGGTAGCCTGCACAAAAAAGGCGTGGATAGGTGGAGTGTTGGTGACATGCTTGCTCGACCCGGGCGCTGATGAAAACTATTTGAGCGAGCAACTAGCTCATATAATTGGCTTACGGTGGGTACCTTCTAGAGGACGATTCAAGGGAGTCAATGGTGGGTGGACTCCCATAGCTGGGGTGGCTAGAGATGTGCCCATCCAGCTAGGCGATTGGAAAGGTACGAAACTATTCAATATAGCTCCTATGGACGAGTATGAGTATTTCTAGGGATGAGGTTCTTGGACCATGTCAACCCCATAATGTTCCCGCATGAGCAAAGGTTCACAATCACAGAAGGTGGGATACTATGCGTGTGTTTGTTTGAGGGTTTGGATTTTGAGTTGGGATTTGAATAGTAAAAATTTTAAATTTGAATAATTGTATTATGTGATATAAATAGGTGTTGATGTGATGTTTTGAATGTAAAATTGATTTTTAGTTTAATATAAAAATAAAAAATAGGTGTTTGATTTGATGTTTTGAGGGGAAAAAAATAGGATGAATAGTGGAAATTTTCACAAATCCCTCAAACAAACACACAACGTGACGGTATATAGGGAGAGAGAGCTGAACTTGAAACAAGTAAAGAAGGGTCAGAGAGAAAGGGAGTCAACTCTAGCAACAATTCGGAGTAAGGAGAGCATCCCTAGTGATTGTGAGCAAGACGTCAGAGGCCCGCCTAACTACTTAGGGCGAGCCCTCAAAGGGATCGAGAAAACCACACGGGATGGTCTGCCTAAGTGGCTACCCCCTCGTAGGACGATCAATCGTGGTGTCGATGAGGTGAGTGGTGCAAGACCAGCCACTCGGTTTACATACCAGATGTCCCTTAATGAGTTAGAGGGTGTTAAGGAGAAATAGTGTATGATCCTTATGGAGACTGAGTTGAAGAGCAAACGTCGACTTGGAAGGACGAATGGTGTGACAGACACTTTGAGTTGCAAGGGAGTGTGTGAGTTCTAGCAGGTAATGCCGAGGAAGCTAGTAGGAGTGTACGAGAGACCGAGCCAGCCAATAGTACACTATAGTAAACGTTGGCGAGATCGTGTAGGAGTCGTTAAATCAAACCTGGAGAAGTCCCAACGAGGAGTGAAGACGTGGACGGGCCAGAGGAGGATGTCCCGAGAGTCTAAAGGAGAAGATGTGGGGATCATAAAGAACGGAGACGATAAGGTGGTGGAAGAGATCGTAGTGGACAAGAGGGCCGGATACCTGAGTCGACCACTACGGATGAAGTTCCTGGCTAGGTGGAATGATTATCTAAGTCCAAGCCGAGCTGGAGGGAGACCAGAGGCGTATGGCTATTCGAGAAGTGTACTTGTGACTTGGAGGCATTGAGGGCAATGCCTAGTTCAAGTCGGGGAGGATGTCACGGACTGAAACTTTGGCCGAGCAATGCCGAGGAGCGCCAGGGAGAAAGTATTGCCGAGAAGAATGCAAAGGGCGCCGAGGAGGGGTCTGCGGCGTGCAAACACGGAGATGCTAGCGGAGATCCTTCAAGATGTTCCAGAACCCCCTGGAATGTTCCACAACCTTCCAGAAGGTTTCGGAATCTCCTAGAATATTCTGGAACATTCTAAAAACCGAGTTGATGTTTATCCATTAGAATTAATTTATCCGTATCTCTTTATTTAAATATCATTATCCGTAGTTTGTTAAGATATAGCGTATCAGAGTGTGGATTTGATTTGGCCCATGTTGGGCCCGGTCCGTTAGAGTGTTTATATACAGAGGAGTCCTCACTTGTACTTTATTTCAGTTTTGATAATTAATAAACAATCTACTTTGCCGGGTGCATCTTATAATGTTTTTACTTTTAGCATGTCTTGGAGTTGCAAGCAACTCTGTACTAGTGAATCTCGAAGGTGTCGAGAAATTGCTAGGCCGACGAAACGGTGTTCGAGGAGGAACCGTCCTACCCGTTACACTTGTAAATACTTATCTTTTCACTTTTTATTTTTATGCAAAATAAAAAGTATATATTGTATTAATGTATGTGTATATTGTATTTTTGTAATAATATTTATTGAGAACCATGCCACACAAAAATACTAAGTGAATAAACCCTTGATTTACTTTGATTTTTATTATTATTATTATTATTAACAATTATCATCTTATCTAAAAAAAAAATTATAACTTAAAAAAGTCATCAAATGAATTAACACAATCCTAGTTTACTTAATATTGTTGATAAGCATATTCAGTAACCTAATTTATATTTTAATTGAGTTAAGATAGAAGTTAAAATATTGTCAGGTAAGCAAAATCAAACACATATATAATTGGTTCCAATTAATACTTCTAAAAAAACCAATGGATGTAACGACTCTTGATATTATTAAAACCGTTGTTAAGAGTAGACTAATATAATATAATTAATGATATAGTTAGCGTGATGTGATAGAATTTGTTTTAAATGATTGAGAAGTGTGTCATTAAATTAGATATTTTGTCAATCTTGTGACAGATATCGTGCACTGCATTTTGTATAGAGGTAATAACATGGCTTAATTAGTGTTATTACGACCATAACAATATATACATGAATAATTTATATATAGAGAAAATTGTAGCCGTGCTTATACAAATTTTAAATATTTTAGTGTTTTTAGCCATATTTTTTTTTTATGACAGAGAAGTTCGCAGCCCTATTATTCGAGTGC